TGTCCTACAATTATGGGCCTGTTTTAACTATTTCAGCCCAGAAAATTTATCTGTATACCATACATTTTTTACGTTGCAAATAGGGTACTCAAAGGCTTACGCCTATTTCCCTCAATAAACTGAACTGAACTGATCTGAACCCCCACACTCGCACACACACTCTCTCACACACACGGATAACTAAGCATTTATTGTCTTTCCCCAGTTCGTGGGAATACTAAATGGAATTGACTAACACCATAATGAAAACACGCATGCAAAGTTTGTAAGAAAGGGTGACAGATGCGTGTGCATATTTTGCTCACTACACTAATCATGTAAATTTATAATTAGGGTGCTATTTAGAATGATAGTGGACGCTACTTGGGCAATAGACACATGGAGAATTGTGGGTGATCTGTCTTGTCTGTTAGTTTGCCGGTGGAAATGCAGAAGTAGGAACTACTGCAGCGAACGGACATGGGAATGCAGACTCTGGGGGAGAGAAATCGAGATGTTCTGCTACGGCGGTATCGGCGTGGCAAAGTCGACAGTTGCGAATAGTAAGGGTACCGGCATCTTCACAGACACTCCAGCACACCATCCCCATACCGGTTGCACGCCTATTTGAGGTGCTTCACTTCACTTAAACACTACCTTCAATCGCTTGGCCTGTTACAACCGACAACTGGCAATAATCCGAAATCATCAACTGGCAGTTATATGATATATAAGATATAAGATATATATAAGATATGATAAGGTGAGTGGAGACGGGCGCTATCTGCGACGTCCTGTTTGTCATTGTTATATTTCCGTTGTGGTTTGCTGTTGGCTATCTTTTCTGTAGCAAGGTTTCTTCCGTTTTATTTTTTCTGCATTCACACCGGTCGATTCCGATTGTACTTTGTTCTCGCACGCTTTTGAACAGACCGCCACGTGTTGGCGTCATTCGCGAGACTGCTCGTAAAGTCATCTCGAGTAACCTTGTTAGCCTTCGCGAGGACGTATTCGGGTTATTGAGGCTGTCAACCGACATTGCCTTCGACCTCGGATGCAAGTCTGCAACCGCATTTTGAATATGGAACTCCCGTCTGTGATACACGCATTTACTATTTGAATAGGATATAACTCTAAGCAGCGTGCTAAGTCAGCCTCAGCCTTTTACCCACTGTTTTAAATCAGTCGGTGCCACAAATTCCGTAATCCACGCACTCAAGCTGCATTTACTGATTTACGCGCAGACCATCTTTCTGTAGTCATCGATGCAATAGTAATGCTACATCCATGTAGGCAGACTTCTATTGAAGCAAGATCATGACTTACTCGCAGGGATCCAGAGGCCAATTAGCAGATTAATCAGAGATTAAAGATCATTGTCATATGCTGCCCACCCGATTATCCTAAATCCGTTTACTCTAAGACGTGAGAAATTACGTGGGAACTCAATCCCAAGCTTTAAGATCATACGTATGTTTGATTGCGCCCTTCTGTGCGATGAATTTTTCGGTTTGTCAATAGAACTAAGGCGTTAGGAATAGCGCGTACGGAGTTATGTAGACTGCTTCGGGGTGACGATGGGATACACGGTCACACTTGGTCTTAACCCCCTTTGCATTACTACTGATATCATTTTCGGGAGGCGTTGGAGCTGGCGTGAAAATTTTCGTTGTGGTAATGGGAAGCTGCACTTTCGGATTAGCGTTCCAGGACAAGGCTTCAGGGTTAAGCTTAGGGATGGATGGGGTCCCGTGTTTCTTGTCAGGGTTAGACTTAGCGTTAGGGTTATAGGTTTGAATTAGAGTTAGGCCCAGTGTTTTTTGTCACGGTTAGGAGTAAACGTTTCGGGTGAGGAATTATGTTCATAGTTAAGGTTAGTGTGCCGGTATTATTTGTTTTTCTTCTTGTCTTATTGCACTTGTCGTGCCTTTTGAATTTTTGCTACATCATTCTTTTTCAGGAAATTTACCGTTTGAGCTCTTTGTATTTCAACATTCAGGGCTTTCTCTTCGGTGCTAAAGTTGCCAGGACTGAATGATGCGGCTCATCGACACCCTCCCTCAACTCCGGGCGTGCAAGATGTTATTCTTGCCAAATTCCTAGGGAATGCGACGCTATCTCGTCGAGGCAGCGAGGTGCAGGCCTGAGACTCTACGATGGTCTCCGCAATTCCTGATCACAACAGACTGCAGACAATGTCCGCTCTCCAGGTGTCGTTTTAAAGTTGCGGGAAGCAGCACAAGTCTACCCCTTACCCAAAATGCCCGTACTGGACTTCCCTCTGCTGTGGTTTCCATCGTGTTCGAGATGCTGCAATGCCTATTGAACATGAATGCAGCCATTTAGGGGGTTTTTTTGGCGGCACTGGGCCGCGCAGTTGTGGGCATGCGAAGTCACTTGAATGAGCACTTGGTCCCTGGCGGTGCACATGTCGAACGTATACTGGTGGTTTCTCTTATGGCGAACCTGTATGGTGACCCCGTGGGGGAGAGGGGAAGCTTGGGAACCTGGGTTTAAGCCTGTGAATCCGTCTATACCAGCAACGTTTCGTTGTTCTCCCGTTTCCTGCCCCGCACTCCAGCTTGGTGGATTGTGCCTCCAAGCCCCTCACTTTTTGAGACAGCGGGTGCCAGGACCAATCGGAGAGATGATGAAAAAGTTTTGGCCCGCCTCTGGGTTGCTCATTTGGCGTCAGTTCGCTCCATGCAGCTTTTTAGTGTCCGCCAGGATCCCCTAAACGGCAGCATTCATGTGCTTTCTTTGGCATAAAGCAGACATTACACAACACGTTTATGGCTGACGCATCGTTCTGTACCTTTTCCATCTACTGCTGTTCTTGATTTTTTTGTTTCAAAAGACGAACAGTAAAGTTTTGTTCTTCAACAAATCTTCGTCATCATAGTTGTCCAGTCAGTTAAGGATGTTTTTACCGGAAATCAGAGTCTGGGGTAAATTATTGACCATGATCCTGTTATTGTTACGAGGAACTCTAAATTCCGCAACCGGCGGTTTCCTGTAGTTATTGTTTTTCTCATTTGATGAGGCCTTGCTGTGGCGACAACCTTGAAAATCCAAGGAGGCAATTATTACACACTTCCAATCACTTATGTAAAATATCGATTGGGTGTTTTGTACCAGAGAGAGAGAGAGAGAGCCAGATATGTCAACCCCACTGTTGTCTGCGTTTAGGCGAGTTGCGTTAATTTTCCTTACTCCCTATTCGAGGCATGATAAAATCTCGCGAGCCTGTTTTCTCGTATTTTAGACAGTGAGAATATGAAACATTGGCATCTGCGAAAAATTCGGCTACGTGTCGCAGCAGACGGCAATTTTCAAATCTTTACCAAGAGTTGAGGAGCAGTTTAACTGACCAGTATTTTGCCCTTATGTCTGCTTTAGTAAAGACGCAGTCAGTATGTACGTTATTCGTCTTCCTGGCTTCCGCTGTCACCGAATGCGCAAGGGAATCTTATCTCGTAGGGTGGATATGCTAATCAGATTTGGACGACGGCTATACCCTGACTTACTTGCTTGCCGGGACTGTTAGGGTCAGTATAACTGCCTAGTCAAATTAGGCAAAGGCGCCGTGTACGTAGTAAGTTCGGGCGGAAATGGTGTGCTTCGGATCGACCCTGTCCGGTCTGTGCATTTAGTGGACAGTCGGCTGGCCGACTGCTTTTTGGGAAACTGGTGCTGCCTTCTGCGTCAGGTCTTTTTTTACTCAAACAAACCCCAGGTTGGTGAGGAATTGGGAATGCTCATCAGAATGCTAATGGGTTATTGGTTTGGAGTTTACTGGTCCGGCTGTTTTGTTTGACGGTTGCCTGCGAGATTAATGTCCACCCAATAGCCGCCGCCAGGAATGTCATCTGCATCGGGTGCGACGTTGGTTTTCCCCTATGTTGATGCCTGTCCGGGCTGGTCGGCCAACGGATACTGGGGGCGGAAGCAGTGGTTGAAAGAGGCAAGATGGCCTGTCTACGCGTGCCACACACGCTGCCTGGCTTCGCTTCGGCTTCTCAGGCGAAGGCGTGAGCCACTTGATTCTTGCATTCAGAAGAGGCTGAAGTTCACCGAAGATTTGCATGCGGGCACACGCGGCCAGGTCTTCTGATGCAGTAACTATGCGGGCGGTGGCAGTTGAGACGAGTGTGGCGATCCTATGTTGGCCCTGGTTCGTCAGTCCCGTGCAATGAATACGCAAATAATTGACCAGGCCTATGCGTGATGTGGAGGCGCCACGGCTATTAAGACAGGTTCGAAGCGAGTCCTCATTGCTGGAAGTGGAGACAGTGGTTGATGTGGCGTCGACAGTGTTAGCACCAGAAGTGGTAGGGATGATGGATGCGTTGGTGTGCTTCGGGGTTTCGCTCATTGGCGGTGGTGATTGACGTTGTGGTAGTCGCGGTAGGGCATACTACGGAGCCCCTTTTGGAAGCAATAGATGAAGTTGTAATGCAGTTATTGCATCGGTTCCGAAGATGTACCACGGGATCAGTCGGCGCACGGATACCCTTAGCGACGTTGCCATGGAAGTGTCGCTCGATATCCATCCTGAGGTGACCAGTCCATCGCGGCATTCCGCAAACCCATCTGGAGCGGGAGTTGTTCAGTTACCTGACATTTTTTGGCGCAAGCGGACCAGTAGAGCAGTGTTGTTGGGACTACTGTGTTGTATATTTCGAGTTAACTATAATAATGACTTGCATTTTTGAACGCCAGATGGGTGCTGTACAGGTTGTTTTAGACAGGTTTATAGCCTGTTAGATGCCAGACTCGGTGTAGACGTCCGTGGTGCCAGCAACGGCAGGTTTTGTAAGCTCACCAATAACTCTGGACCAGTGTAACACGCGGATTGTGATAATAGGAATTTTACGGGTGGGAAATCAGCGCGGAGGGGGAACGAAACAATTTCAATAAAACGCTAAACAACTGACTGATTTCCTCTCCACTCTTCTTCTACGCCTAGTCGTAGCAACGGAATTGAGCGCGATGACTGAAAAGTAAACGAGGAGCAGCTTCTAACAAATAAAATATATTCGAACAAACTACCTCTCGAAAATTTGAAGCAGGTCAGGAACTATTGGAACTAACAACCAATAGGAAAGAAGACCAGTAAGTGCCGAATAGTGTAACTGTGAGAATTTACCGCGAGATGACGTGGTGAGTGGAAATGTTAGAGGAGTTATGGATATACCTCCTAACGAAAACGAAAAATGTTAAACAACGCATGTAATATGCAAATTTAGTGAAAGTAAAAATTTATATGTAAAGGACATGCACAATAACTAAATGCGTGATGTCCGCGCTCTTTTGCGCTGCAGCCTCCGTCATTGTACTGAGGGCGCAATCGTCCACGAAATGTACTTTGTGGATGCTGGTCTGAGATACCCTGGCCATTGGAAATGCTTCCGAGACTGCCTCGTCCGTGTCTGATCCACGGCCACTCACATAAAAATGACGCTTTAGTTTTAACTGATCACTTCGACAAACTGCCCAACCCTGTTGCATCTGATGTGGTCGTGGAGACGTTCGGTTAACAATTTTATGATTTTCTACCCCATGACCATAAATTTTCTCGAAATTTAGGACTGGCATAAAGTGTTTCAACTGTTATCTGAGTGTGTCTGGTATCAGTAAACTGCGTTCTCAACTTTTCTGCCTATATCCTTATCAAACACTGAATTTTAATAAGTAAAGCAGATATAACCCAAGAACGCGAAGCTCATGATGAAATGAAAAATGTCTCCGAGGAAATCAAAACCGTCTGGGCTCCCTGTTTGTTACATGGAAGCAAATTATATCAGAATTTGGAAATGGAAACGTCAGACAGCTACAGAATTTGTTTGAAACCGGTCGGATAACGAATTAATAACATTACTAAATGTGTTGTGCAGTATTTGGTCTCTGCGTAATTGTGCTCTAGAGCATTGGTGCGATCTCAGCTTCTGAGAGAGACGTATTGGAGCCAACATTCACATTCAATGCATCAAAAGCAAACGTTACTGAAATGCAGTCAGTAATATTAAAACAAGAATAAACTGTTATAGCGAGACGCTAAGACGGTATCGGTCAGATGTTTGGTGGTATACTGGTCCAACTTTCGATTAAAAGCCTCAACGGAGGTGAACATGACGATATTTGCAGGCAGAGCATTCCAAGCCTCGACCACTCTGTTGGAAAAGAAGAACCTTCGCATGCCCAACCTGGCGCCAGTCACACGAAGTTTAAATGGATGATCTCGGTGGTTCGGTGTGATTGCTAACTCAAAGAAGTCAGCAGGTAAGAGACAGCAGCCCTGACCGCGCATAATACGGAATGTTTGTATCAGATCGCCTCTTAGCTGTCTGTAACTGAGAGGAAAAAGGCCGAGATTTGATAACCATTTTTCGTAGGGCAGTGAACGCTGTCGTAGGTAGTGAGATAGGAGATAACCTCAGAGTTGTGAGTAGACGGTAAGGGTATTACTGAAACTGACATCTGGTCTGAACTGCTGGCACTTCATGACCCTTGTTTTCATCGATGAAACGGATTTTAACTAGGTCGAGTTCTCTACCATGAGTAATGGTGCAGTCAAGAAATGCATGACGGGGCCTGTCTACACGGCAACTGAATGCTTCAACACCTTACCAGTCGAGCCGCGATGCACTTGAGAGTTGCCAGCTATGATAGACCTGTAGCAGCCTAGCAACTACATTTTGAAAATGCTGCAGCACCTGAGCAACCCATTACCCTTGCAGGACTCTGTCTCTGATGGCAGAGTTGAGTGAGAAACTAAAACGTCAGGCTAATAGGACGCTTGTTCCAGCGATCATGTCTCTTTTTTCGCGACTGCTTCCTGAACTTGCCTCCTTGTTTCTACTAGCACATGGAGGGAATTGTCAGGAATCAGTCACGAATTTCCTCGGAGAATAAGACCTTCTTGACACTAACCAACTCAGTTTTCGACAAATCCAATCCTCCTTGATCAGTATACTCTATTCAATGGAGTACCGATTCCGAAAGCTAGACAGAGACGCACGAGTCGATGTCGTTTACACTGTCGAGACGGGACGCCGTCTCGAGAGCTCCCACTTGTCGGCAACACAAGCATTACCAAACCAGAAGTCAGAGAAGACGGGCTGGGCTGGACAACCTTTACGCTCTATGGGGCAACATCATGACAAAGGAAAAATTTTGCATTTTTCAGGTACGCAGTGACACGATCTCGATGGGCAAAGATTGTGTCAACCTCGATTGATGAAAATAATTTGACTAAGATGGGGGGATTTTTGCTACTGGAGGACAAGCCTTTAATATCGGTTACTTTGTAGTTGAAACCACATGAATACAGGAAATTGGTCGCAGCATCAATTGGCCGAACAGATCGAGGAAAATGTTTTAACAGAAAGTTGTATGAACGCTTTTGTCTATCACTAGATTCACTTGCGATCAGGTGAACAAGTGAGTGGAGACGCCTACATTCTTGAGAGGGAATACCGGAGATGTTCCCGTCGAATAAATTTCCAAGAATTGACAGCAAAGTGCCAAACTTTAGCATAAAGTCATTGCAGTGGTCAAGTGCAGACAGATTAAGCTGCCGACCAATTTCAATGGGTGGCGACTGACTAGAAATACCATCTGACTTAGATTTAGGTAAGCCTTCTGACTTAGGCTTAGTTAAGCCATGCCTACTTACAGAGGCCGAGAGCTTACGCCGACCCGGTGACTTTTGCTCTCATCTTGTCTCGAGGAAAGTTGTGATTAAAAAAACTTCTTGCAGACAAGGTGGCTGAATTTCAGCTAGGGGCTATTGATGCAAAAATAAATTACAACAGTTAGAGAGAAATCGAATGCACGAAATCAGAATTGCAGAGTGCCACTGGTGAACAACAGGCATAGACTAGCAGAACTCAAAAAGGAGATGGCAACAGGCTGTTCTGAATGAAGAGGCCGGTATTTAAGGAAATTTAACCAAAAAAACAGGGGCGAAAATCGTTAGGTCTCACAGAAAAACCACTTAAAATAATATTCTCTACTTATCTTCAAATTTAAAACCAACGGCTTGACCTTGACCTTCGGCATAAAATTTGGCCTGAAAGGGCTCTGATGATGCCAGCCATTAGAGTGACACCAGGATATAACCTTAAAAAACAATTAGGTATACGATAGAATAATTCATATGCATATCACAAATGCATATATGTCCTTTTTTCCCTTCCTCTCATTTCCATCAAATGACTCACTAGACATTGAGAATCTTCGAGGAACACAAGCAAATATAACTTTCGATAAGGCTCTGCATATATGTTGCACGTAAGGTTATATGCGACGATACCAAGAATGTGTAAGGCCCCATATGATTTTACACGGGGTGTACGGGTGTATAGAGCGGTGGGTCAACGCAACGGACGTAGTAGGTAGCTCGCCTGCTCGCGGATTCAGACTACGCCCAACGTTCATTTGCTGGGACCCAACTCTTACCTGTGGCTCCTCGAAGCTAGGTTCTGTCTAGCGGCCACACTCCAGTAACCGCCTCGACCGACGGGTTCAACAAGGTGGAGGTATCCTTGTTTGCATCCCCGTACACGGCAATCAAAGCCTCTGATCATGAAACCGAAAGACCCACTGTCACGGCTAGAAACGTCTGGAGTCGTTTATCGGATCTGGTGCAGTTGCGGACAAAGCAACTACGTCGGAGAAACCGGAAGACAGCTCCGAACGAGAATGGCCGAACACGCGGCAGCGGTGCGCAGAAATGACGCCAGCTCTCAAGTTGCGGCTCATTCGACGAGATCCGGCCACACATTTAAATTCGATGAGGCCGAAATTCTCGCAAGAGGTGACCACCGAGTGAGCCGACAGCTACTGGAATCATGGTTTACTGGCCCCCAGTCCATCAACAAGTGCAACGATCTTCCCATTCAATACAGCGTGCTGAGACTTCGTCTAGGCGGAGTAATTGGCCACGCGGGGAGCGCACTGGTGAACACTCTTCCCAACACCCGGCTCAACGCATCAGATGGTCGAGCAATCATCACGCCAACATCCAACGCCCGTGATGAAATTGCGGCAATTATCGACTCGAATGTCGGCCATCAAGCAATGATCACCCAAAGTGTAACAATCCCGGATGATGGGGAGGGAGCCGTGAACATTCATAGGCATGCGGCAGCATGGCTGCTGCATCCTATAAATACCGCAGCCCCTTGTGCAACAACCACCCGTTTCTGCTCTTTTTTCTCTGATGATGGATTCGAGTAGGAATCCGAAACGTCAGGCTAATAAAGCTCTTGTCCCGGCGATCGTGGCTCCTTCTTCAAAAATCAAAGCCTCTCCGACAGGATGGAGCAGCGCATCGGCATGGCCGTGACGAGGTTCCGTCTAGAACATCGC